TCTATGAGTATCTGAACCAGTTTGTGGTCTGCTTCCGTTTCGAAATGATCCACTGCGTCAGCAGCCAGTGAACGGACACGCCGATGAACCGGCTTTGGATCGTGTCTTGAATCCGTCGACGGTTTAAGCCTAAGACTGTGTGAAACACCGTTTAATAAGCTTAGAGAGACGTAGCAGAATAATAAAATTATTTTTATTATTGTTAGCATTTTAGAACATCAGGATGGTTCAGTCGTTGTACGTGCCGAAGAGGTGCACTCAACTGTCGAAACTGACGTATTCCATTTGTACATGAAGCTTAACAACATCATATTTTCGATGTTTGAAAAATTTCTGAAAATTCGTGTTCCTTTGCCTACCTGAAGAGTTCCTATGTCTACCTGCGGGTGCAAATTAGTAACCGTTTGACTTGGTACCACCAGTGAGTCTTGCTGCTGGTTGGCTTCGATGACGGTTTCTGTGTTCCTGGTTGTCCTAGCAGTGACCCTCGCTGCATCAGTGTCCTTCGAGCCACTTTTTACCGCTGCGACATTGCTTCTCATTTTCAGCCAAGATTGCTGGTCTTAGAATGCATGAAATGCATGAGCTTGTAATCCACGATGCTCGTGTGGATACAAAATGGCTCGCAAGGAAGATTCTCCATGAACCGTCTCATCACCGGTACGATTCCTTAGTCAGCAGAATGCCAAAGAAGCGCGTAAAGCATTCTCCGCTTAATTACATCTGTTATGACAGAGATATCTTAACGACCTGTGGTTTCTCACCTCATCCGGATGTGGAGAGTCCGGCATAGATTCAAGAACGAGTTACGGTCCAGATTCAGCTTGAGTCAACTCTTGTCCTGTATGCAAATTTTATCTTGATCGCTGAATCAATAATGAACTGCACGGATGACGTCGAGTCCTTGAAAATGAGTTGAGGATGGCTTACTATAGCAGTAACCCGACTTGACTAGACTTGAAAATAACAGACGTTGTCTCACAGAGGAAAACATCAGATCAGATATTTTGACACAAAATCAATTAGATCACTGAGGCAAAATGTCTGTTTTACGGAACGGTTATGTCAATGCGTTTTAATTAGTTTTGAGGAAGAAAATGACGAAAATTCCATATAGATTAACCAAATGTTTTCCTACGCATTTTCCTCTGCTCGTGGTGCCTGTTACTTTGCAAGAAACAATTTTAAAGTCTTTTATTACTAGTTTTACTTCTCACGCTAGAAATGAACAATTCTAATAATTCTGAACTGAATGTCAAAAAAATGTAGAATGCGATTCATACAACTCTCTGTGTATCCTCTTTTAAAGGATATGCTCATGAGAAGAAGGTTTATTCTGAATAGTCAGGATTTCAGGTTAACATAATTAAAACGGAGCATATGGTGAGTGCTGTGAATATATGACACATGTTACAGATACCACATTCAGTCAGCAAGACGGACATCTTCATATTCTTCGTCCTCTTATTGTTCTTTGGGCATTCTCTTTAGACGGATGTCTTCATATTCTTCATCATCTTATTCATCTTCACTTAGCATGATTTTTAAGAACGTTTCAAAGTTCCAAGCTAAAGTCAGAAAGACACGTGAAGGCAAATTTCCAGATCCTTTGCATTTCTACTCCTGGCTCTGTTCGCAAAGCGAAACTTCCTTGGCCTGACAGTTTTCGGTTGCAAATCCGCTCTGTACTTACACAGGTGAGGTAATTCAATGGTCATAAGCACAAAATTATCGAAGAAGCAAATGCTCATTGATCAGTGCATCAAAACGACGGTAGAAGATTAACCACTGCAACACGGTTAGCCGTGGCCATGCATATGCTCCATGTTTGAATGACCTGAAGCGTTTACTGAGACCTGAGGCTCATGCCGATACCGTGCCGGCCGAAGATGACCTGAAGTTGATAGGTCTTCTGATTCCATTACTGGCAACATGACAAACTTTCTCACCTATCACCTCCATTTGATAAGGCCTTTCAACGTTTTTGTGCCAAGAAGCACAATTTGACTATTTATTTGATATCACTGGATGAACATGAATTCCTGAAGTGTCACTTCTGCTCAGTTCAATGCTTCAGTGGACTTCCGTTTACGTGGTTAAATATGCTCTGAAAAACTTCCGGTGTTTTAAGCCGCCACACATGATTCGATTATCTTAAGAATTGCAGAAGACTTGAAAAATTGCATTTGTACAAGGGCCTCAGATCGACTGTTTCACGATGGCTAAGGGGATCCGTTGCCAGTTTTCTTGACTTTCTTATGCTTAGGCTTTCTATGCTAAGCAGTAACGCGATCAAAACTGAATGACCATGTCAGTGACGGAGGGCTACCGGGTGAGGTAGAATTAGGTATCATTGGAAACGCAAATATGGGCATCGCATTTGGTTTCCTTTTATTCGTAATGACGTGTCCATAACGTATCCAGAACTTCAACGGGTAGTGAAGAAGCCTACATCGAAAGCAAACATTTCAATTAAAAAAAGATTGCCATGTTGAAAGCTCCCATTGAACAGTCATTGCCATGGATATGGTTCGATTTCGGTTTCGTCTCTTCGTCTATGTTTTCTACATACGTAAATAATGATTGATGGACGTCAGTCCCTGTGACGAACTCTATCCTCTGCAGCAAGTCCTGTGAATTTTGAAACTAAACATAATAAATCTCTTTGGTTTCATGAGGACCGTCACAGTTTCAGTACAGTAAAGATGAACCTTAACGGAAAAATTCCCAAAATAAGTCGCACAACCATCGAATGCCCATATGTGAGAGCGAAAACGAGGATGTTGCTTTTTGTTTAAACTAGTGTTTATAGTTTCCTAAAATAGGTCATATATTTAATATGGTATTTTTGAGAACTTACGAAAAAGAATGATCACTTTTTGAATTAATATCTCTGTCGTAGAGAAACATTTTCAATGGATCAAAGCAGTGGTTTTATGTTCCGATTTACAAAAGCATATGAAGTGTAAATAATTGCTTTTTTTTCCTACCGTGTTCCCTTTAACAGGAGTCCACTATTCAAGTCAACCTCCTCCGCATTTTTCAGTCGTTTAGCATATTTTCAGAAACTCCTCACAATTTCATATGGTTCTTGATGACATCGATCCACCGTTGCTGCCATCTTCCCCTTCCTTCGTTTCCCGAAAGCATCAGTGCCAGACAACATTTCCAACGTACTCTATGGGTCTTCTTTTCACGTGGCCGAAACAGCGGAGCCTGCTTTCGACAAGCTATTTTGAGGTTGATGCTACCCCTATTATGATTCTTATGAAGCTGTTTTGGATGTGTTCCCTTTCTGCTGAGACCACCTATCCATCTGAGCATTCGCATTTCTACCGAGTTCAGCTGTTGCTGGTGTCTCTTCATGTTAGCGGCACAGAAGCACCGGTCTTACTGTTGTTCTGTACACCTTCC